TAGCTTAAATCACAGCTGGCACTAGACATGCAAAGTAACACTGCAGTGCAAGCATGGCTGCAGGAGGCTGCCAGAGATCAGCCAACTTGTGCCCTGAAAAACCCTCTACAAAGCAAAAATGAACCATGTAGTTCCATTTTGAAGTTAACTCATAACCTGCTAAAATATGGAATAGAAAAAAGCTTAATACATACTCAAACTGGGGTTTTAGTGGCACCATGTTAGAAGCGGCTGATATTGCTACAACAGTTGTCGAAAAAGTGACATCAGCTACATCAGCGTTGCCTCCCTCCCAGGGACATGCTCAATCTGTAAAAGCTCAGACTTGTGACTTACTATAGAAAAACAAAAGCAAAGTTGAGTCCGTAATTCAACTTGTTCAAATGGTTAAATCATCAAACATTGCTCGATGTCTTGAGGTGCAAACTGTATTTTCTGAAAAACAAGACACAAGATTGTTTGACTATCAATTCAATCAAGTTAGAGCAGCTTAAATAGCAGTTGGCACTGGACATGATAAGCAGTCAAGCAGTACAAGCATAGCTGCAGGTGGCTGCCAAACCGGCCGACTTGTGCTTTGAAAAACCAGTATAAAACAAAAAGAAAAACCACGCAGCTTCACTTACTTCGAAGCTTAAAAGTTACTATTTAATAATAATACATTTAAATATTGAACGAATAATTACTTTGTGCGAGAGCAAGGGGCAAAAAAGTTGCAAGGAGATAAGCTGCAAAATGGCAGGATGCTGGTTGCTGTAATTAAACAGATGCAGACTCCTGATAACACAGGATATGAATACCATATCATGTCAGCCACATCTGCCTTGACATTGTAGCAATCGCACTGCATGCATGCATCACCGGTTCACAGCAGCGTATCGCAGCAAATCATGCATTTGCTCTGGGGGCTCAAAAATTTTATAAATCAAACATCTTTGTTTACAATTATAGGATGACTTCCAGTTTTAAATGAACGAGTGGAAATAAGTTTTATTTGCATACAGTTTCCAGACTTCTGTGTGGGCTTTTGCGAGTCGTTTCAGTTGCTTGTTTAAGATGGTGTGTCCTGGAGCATTCTCAGATTGAAAATTGGTACAACTGCAGAACCGTCATATTCAATAAAGTATAAACAAAATATGACATCGTTCGCTTCGATATTTGGAAGTTTTGAATATTCCCAAAGCCCTTCCTTACACTTCTTAAAAGGTTGGCGTCAGCCACATTAGTGTTATCTCCCTCTTAGAGACACGCTAGACGTGCAGGAATTCAAATTTGCACTTACCATAAAAAAACATACAGATTCAAGGGATTTCTGTGGAGACTCATTTGAAGCCCTTCAGCAGCGCTAAAATCTTGCGATGGGCCGTTGTTCGCTTCACTGCTCCCATTTTCTTCAACCCCTTCTCCAGGTTGATTTGGAAGTTTAGTCTAAGAGGATATATTGCATCATCTAACATTAATGCCATGCTTGCTTCATGAATACTCAGCCTGGTGAAGGTAAAGCCATTTTTTTTTCTATTATCAGGTCAGACTATGGTAGTGTTGGATCATGTTAAACCTGAAAGACTGCTGAACAAACACACATTCTATACACTGACACGCTGTTTATAAACAAGCCCGCGTTTGCCCACACCAGGTGTGGGCACTGCGCATGCGCAGAAACCAAATTAGCGTGAAATGAAGTGTGCGCGCATGCGCAGTGCCATCGACAGCGCTGCCGCAGCTGCAAGACGTCAGTGCTGCGTGTTGGTCTATACAAGATAACCATGTTTCCCAGCCTTGAAAGTTACAGCCTAATGACAACCAGTGTTCACATGTTATCAATTCATTATAGAAATGCATCAGCGTAATTCTTTGTAAAATTAATACAGATCAAATGTTTGTGCGAGTTGTGAAAAAGGGCATTGAGGCACGATAAATGAAAGGGTGATATAGATGATGTCATTCTATGACATATCCTGTGGACTTGACACATTTTAAGATTCTCTCCTTGTTGAATAAACTCGAGACTGGCCAAAGCTTCCTTTAGATAGGTAAATTCAACACGCAAAAAGCTCCAAACAAGACGCATACCACCTTCAAGAATGGCATAGGCTCTTTAAACATTGGCTGACGCTCGGTGACAAGGAAGCGTGCAATTGTTGTTGATGACGCCTCCTGAAAAAGTTATGAGCTTGCATCTCAGACGATTTGAATCTGCAGGAACGGTGGCTAAGCTCTTTACAAACAGTCTGACTGCAGAGCCAAGATTAATGCATACAATTTTACAGTCCGTGGAACAGTGGTATCACGTGCCCTCCTGAGTGGCGCCATGCAAGTAATGAGTGGACGTATATTGCTTTAATATACACATAGAATATTATGAGCATAAAAATTAATATCAATATGATGGTCTTAGACCATGTGGTTGGGGGGAATCAGCGTACGGTGACACAGGTGCATTCTGTGAAATGAGAAATTCATCAGCTGCATTGTGATTGCTAACTAGTGAACGCGCATCACGCAGTGGTGATACACCGGTAGGAATCAGTTCATCGAACGACGTTTCCTCGACAGATCGTTTCATCAACAGCTCAAATTTTTTTTTTTTTTAGGGTGGGGGGGGGGGGGGGTTAATAACCTGCACGAGACTGTCGCCACGAAGCGACCTGTACGGGTCGGTTAGGTGGGTTAACATTTTTGTAATGTGCAGCCGCAGGCTGTCACCGCGAAGTGGTGTGAACGCAGGCGGGAGTGTGGGTTAACGCGCACTTCACCGATACACGCGTGGCGAAACGACCCTGCAGCGTGAAATTCGCGTAACGAGTGCCGATGAAACGTTCGTGTCGACGAAACGTGTCCATGAAAAGTGGTCCACGAAACGTACTTCCGCGAAACGAATTTCAACGAAACAATAGGGACCCCCCGGCGAAAAGAGCAGGCTACAGGCCGCGCGAACAACGTTGCGAAACTCGTAAAGCACACTCACGCACTCAGACAATGCGTTGTCATGTGCTTTACTGCAACACTCCTGCCAGCCAGCACGCGCGAACAGCCTCCCAATCGCTACGAACGACGAACCGCGCGTACCAGCGAGCTCGCGACATGACACAAGGTTCAAACGAGTACCCGACTTGAGCTTTCAATTCTGAGAAGAACGTCAAACACGAACTGAGATAGCGGCGACCGTCATTGAACCCGAAAGTTTAAAGCGACGCAAATCCGTGATTTCGTTCCTTTCGAGGAAATAAGTGTCAAAAATACGAACGCATATATGACAGTCCCCAATCAATGTTAATAAAAAGAGCAGAACAAACTCACCGTTTGGTAACAACAAGGTAGTTTAACGTAGAACAGTCGCAACCGCAAAAATCACCAAGCGCCTTTACCCCTCGACAAAACAAGCGCGGTAGCAAAACAAGGAAAACAAGCGAGCGGAGATGGGTAGATGAAGAGATAGCGGTAGTGTGATTGTACTAGACAAAAATCTCACCTCGAGCCTTTTCGACTAAGCGGTAACTAGCGCCACCTCGTTTCGGAACCTTTATTATAAGTTGTTTAACAGTGCAATAAATGATATTTTAAAGAGTGAGAACCGTTGTCTATTAGTCTAAACCAAATAAGACAATTTTCAGCTTGTTGCAAACAACTTTTGTTGTTGTTTACAGAATCGTAACTTTAGATTTACGGACAAGTCAACCGTATTTCAGATTACGGATGCTTCTCCGTAGCTTTTAATGAGAAGTTCTACGTTTTTTTACGGAACGTTTTTACCGTGTGGGGAGCAGAGCCGTATATTGGGAGAGTCTGGCCAGTCCAGTGGGTGTGGCGACGAAGGCGCTAGAAAGGAGAAAAGTGAGAAAAAGGGAGGAGACAAGGAGAGAGCCGAAGGAGCGAGGGAGAAAGAAGGGAGCAAAGAGGAGACGACAGCCATTTTGACGCAACGCTGTCGGCGCAGAGTACTGTTGAGGCTACGCGGCTACAAAGCTCTGCGCCGTTATTAATGCAATTAAATTTCTTTGGACAAAAAAAAACGTATTAAATGCAATAAAATTTCTTTGGTTTACAAACGCGGACCAAAGATTTATTACGTGCATTTAATACGTTTGAGCCTTTCATCGCCTCTAATACAGCTGACGGCTTTGACCCCCTACAGTTATACTCGGGTACTCCGACCATAACACCCCGCATATCATTCCTTCAGCTTTAGTCCTTTAGCATTCCTTTAGCTTGGTCCTTTAGCACAGTGGTTCTCAACCATTGATGTTTAGCGGACCCCTCGTGGATCGGCGTAGATGATGGAGGACCCCAGTCGTGGTGGGGCAAGTGAAAGGTGTAGTTGAATTATGATAATGATTTAATAAGGACATATTACTAAGAGGTATACGTGAAAGAGGCTTATCTCATTGACATACATACGAGAAAACTCACCCAAAAAATAAAACATTCTTCCTCAATTTGAAAAGAAAGGACTTTTATTGAGGGCTTGACTAATGAGACAGGAAGCGCTTCGCGGACCCCCATTCGAGAGCCACTGCTTTAGCTAAAGAAACGTAGGTGCGCGATGGAAGGAGGGACACCCGGGAGACTCCTGTGTTTGTCCGTTCTTAGTTCCCTCAGTGTCAGACCCACATCATGAACGTGTTCTTCGGGCTGCTGCTTTTCTTTTAGTGCCTCAGTCTAAAGCCGCTACTGCCAATGCACCATACAGAGAAGACAGTCTGCATGACATTGTCTCAGAGGCGTGTTTGTTCCTTGCATGAGTATATCGTTACATTGTACATAAAAACATACTGTTTGCAGACATGTTCTAATCATAAATCGAACATGCTTCAAACATGCCCAAGGCATGTCCTCACCGCAGATGATTCTTTCATCATGTCTGCAGACCGTGACTTTTGTATTGAGTATGAGCAGGACGACTGCAGCTTTAAGCGTTCGCGGATTCTATGGACGGTTGCGAGAACCAACGTTCCAATTCCGTTGCCTTCCTCGTACACGAAGCGCACTTCTGGGCACAGCTCAAGAAGTTTTGGCGGGAACACAAGCATCCGGACGAGGAGATCCGCTACTTCGAGCGAGGCACGGGCTACTTCGACGTGCGCGACGCCCACGACAGCTGGGTCCGCATCGAGCTCATGGACCGGGACCTGTTCGTCCTGCCCGCCAACACCTACCATAGGTTCCAGCCCAAGAGCCCTGAGGCAAGTGCGCGGGAACAGCGTGGACGGGGAAGAGAGCTATAGACGCTTTACAAACGTGCCAAATTACAGCCGCCATTGCTGACCTTCTGTTGTCTTACCGAGATGCCGAGCAACTGAAACGGTAGTTGACGATTCTCTACAAAGGCCGATGTTTTAGGAAAGGACACAGTTGAATCTAATATGGCAATAACCTGGCCTGCTATGGCAATGATGAAGTGAAATAAACGAAATAAGAGGAAACAAAAACTGAAGGTCAGTTATGGTGGCGTCCATGCACAGCTGCTGCAAAGCGTCTATATATTCACTGGACGCCATATTTGTGGGTACTGTTTAGAGCGCATGCTCAGAACGAGCTCGCATCAAAAGGCTGCTAAGACCGGCACTCTTGATGGTGCGGAATGCACGTTGCAAAAGAACTGTGGAAGCTCGCCATCAGCACGCGCTCAGCATTCGCGCACACAGCTATGGCCGCCAGTGAATACTCCCTATAAAGCCTCGCTCCCGAGAAAGCTATTTCGAGTGCACATGCAATGGTGCGCCGAAGTTTCCGTAGCACCTCAGGGCTTGACACCTGTCATGCATGTGGCATGCACGAGGCAGCGGATTCAGCGCGCGCCGTCGCCGACGGGTTATCGTGCTTTGTGATTGTTATATTTTTGTTACCCGTGGTGTGCGCTGATTGGTGCGACGAGAAAAAGACGAAGTGACGACGAAAGGACCGAGGCTGGAGACGGTGCGCGAGGAGAGAAAGGAACGCGGTGCGCTGGAGCTGGTGCAAGCACGACTTCGAACCGGAATAAAACGCTTTCCCCCCAAAAGGCTGGCTCCCTGCCTTCCCGGGTCCCACGGCGCCCAAACCACAAGCCGTGACTGGCGCAGTCGACAGGATTGGTCTCAGAAGTTCACAGCATTCGTAACCAATCGTGGGCAGTACGCATGGAAAGTTATGCCCTATGGGTTGAAAAATTCAGCGGCAACTTTTCAGCGCGTGATGAATGAAGTGTTGCGACCACACAGAGAATATGCAGGCTCATATATCGATGACATTGCAATATATTCTTCTAAGTGGGAAGACCACCTTTTGCATGTAAAAAGCGTTCTCGAAACCTTAAGTCGCGTGGGGCTTACGGTGAAGCTGTCCAAATGCAGGTTTGCCCAGGGAACGGTGATGTACCTCGGCCACCAGATCGGCTCTGGGAGGCATGCTCCTGACCCCGTTCGTATCAAGGCGATTCAGATCATGGAGAGGCCAAAGACGAAGAAAGAACTGAAGAGCTTTTTAGGGCTAATGAACTACTATAGAGACTACATTGCGAACTATGCTGAAGTGGTGTTGCCGTTGACCGCGCGAACTGGAGACAGGACTCCGAACGTGTTACCGTGGGATGACGAGGAGGAACAAGCGTTTCAAAAGACAAAGTGTCTCCTGATGGAAGTCCCAGTCATGAGAGCGCCAGATGCCAGCCAGCCTTTTGTTCTGTCCACCGACGCATGGGATAGAGCTATAGGGGCATGTCTTGCCCAAAGGGCAGGTGATGGGAAAGAGTACCCGGTGGCGTTTCTCAGTAAAAAACTAACTGATCCCCAAACCCGGTGGGCTGTAATCGAACGCGAAGCTTACGCGATTGTGTGGGCCTTGGGTCAGTTGGAAACGTGGCTATTTGGGGCGGAGGTCGAAATTCGCACCGACCATAACCCTTTGCAGTATTTGGCGTCAGCAGCACCAAATAGTGCGAGGCTGACTCGTTGGGTGCTAGCGTTGCAAAAATTTAACCTGAATGTCCAGTACGTAAAAGGGACGAGAAATGTCCCTGCTGATGCGTTGTCAAGGCTGTAGCCGGGTGGAGTTTTGTTTGTGGTTAATGTACTTTAGATGTTCTCAAGAAGTTTGTCAGTCTTTCTAGTGATCATTCACGCCGAATGGATGGGAATGTGCGCGCAGTTCGTTTTCTTTTGTTCTAAATGTTACGATTGTAAAGGAATACACAAATTGTAATTTTTTTATTGGAAAAGAAAAAAAAAAAGGGGGGGGGGGGGGCGTGTCATGCATGTGGCATGCACGAGGCAGCGGATTCAGCGCGCGCCGTCGCCGACGGGTTATCGTGCTTTGTGATTGTTATATTTTTGTTACCCGTGGTGTGCGCTGATTGGTGCGACGAGAAAAAGACGAAGTGACGACGAAAGGACCGAGGCTGGAGACGGTGCGCGAGGAGAGAAAGGAACGCGGTGCGCTGGAGCTGGTGCAAGCACGACTTCGAACCGGAATAAAACGCTTTCCCCCCAAAAGGCTGGCTCCCTGCCTTCCCGGGTCCCACGGCGCCCAAACCACAAGCCGTGACTACACCATTCGAGAACCACTTCGTGCGTGTCAGTAAACTTTCAAAATGCTGGTAACGGAACTTAGCACACTTCAATGACCCTCCTTTGCGCTGTACATGTATCTGCATGTACAGCGACCCCGGAAGTTTGATTCATGTAAGGGGGGGGGGGGGGGGGGTAGCGGTTGAAATAAAAGGGGAGGGGGGGGGGGGATGGAAAAAGTGAAAAAACTCAAATTGAAAAAAAAACTATTATCAAAATTTTACTGTTTGTAGAACGTTTATTATCACTATCTATACCGTGTGTCCATACATTCATCCAAAATTCCGGTCACAAAGCAATGAGATGTTGACACAATCTGATCCACTAGTAGTAGCTATACGGCGCGGCATCGATCTACGGTGTCGATGTAAAATGCACTGGAAAATCGGGCGCCTGCACGTAGAAAGCTCACATTTTCAATAAAGCGTGGACGCATTCCTGTGAAATTTCTTGGCGCGGCTTTGTTCCTGCAGAAAGTTATAACAATGCATTCTTGAAAATTTCAAAAACATTTACCGTGGACGCTGTCGTCCTTCGGTGGTAAACCTTATCTGCGATGCCCTTTTTTTATTTCAGTATGTTTCCTGTTTTTATGGTCGTCTTTGAAAAGATCGTAAAACCAGTCATGGACACGTTATTGCTAAGATGTAACAGTGTTACAGTTACACAATTTGAAGAGTAACTTGTTACAGTTACGGTTACTTCGTTAACATAACGCCGTTACTTTATCGTTATATTACAAAAAGAAATATTAAAAAAAACATTCTAAAGAAATCTTCCTTAATATGGATTTCATTTAACATAGATTTTTCGCAAGACACTGTGTGTTCACGGTAGTGAATCAGATTTTTTGAGAAACTAAGATTTTCCTAATAACCAATATTAACATGTCTGATACTTCCTAACTCAATTTTTACCATGAATTGCTCCCTGAACGGGTAAATCTACCATATGATAAAGCATTTATGGTTATTTGGCAAAAGTAGCAGGCGACTTTAGTTTTTCTAAATGTTAGCAGGTACCTGCTGATGATTCATAAAGAACTTTAAAATTAAGCGCGACCACGATAAGGAAGACACAAATACAACAGCGCGTCTAGATCGCACGGTGCGAGTATATACAATCGGTCATTTCTAACTTCGGAATTTTTGGTGAGGCGAAATGGGACGGAAGCAATAAACATCGTGCATATGTCAAGTCGATAATTATATAAGTCATACCTTGCAATCAGCTGTGTAGATGTGCCACTTCAATCCACTCGTCAATCGAATCGCTCTCTACTGCCTTGCGCACAATCTTTCATGCAACGCGAAGCTTCTCTTGAAACCCATGGAGAGCAATGTAGCGGCAACTTTACTTTGTCAAACCCGCTGAACACGCGTCAGCGGTGCAAAAGAAGCACTGATCGAGGTACAAACGGCCACTTCGTGTAGAATTTCAAACGGCTTTGCGATCTTTTCTCCGCCACTTCCTAACCAGATCGGACACGTTTGCGCTCCTCCATCTTACCACCCCAACTAGAAGAGACCACCCGGAAAACCCACGACGTGTCTATCCACAAATCAAGTGATGAGTGCCTCTGGTACCTGCTAAGGGCGGTCTTTCAATTTCAAGGAAACACACAAACTATCAGAACGACAGAGACGGTTCGAGCGAATACAAGTTACAGGACCCGAGAAGCAGAGCAATGGGGTACAACAAGTGGGAGACGGGAGGCAAAGCCGGTAATTAAGTTGCAAAAAAAAAAAAAGAAGGGGAGGGAAGAGCAATAGGGCATAAAGTCGAGACCCCGCGAGAGTGCATCTGGGAGTTGGATGATTCATATGAGAGGAGAAAGAACCGTATGCTTAGCGGCAAAATAGGAAGTTCAGAAAATCGTTTGTCCCGTAAGCGAGCGAGCGTTTGTGGCCACAACCACCAAGAACTGTCCTCCGCGAAAAGCATTTGGTTCCTCCGCGAGACGAAGAAAAGAGAAACACTTTGGAGATGCCACGCCTTGTTACGTCTGCGTGCGCTGTGGCCGATGCACTATACACGGCGGGTACGGACACAAACATCCCCATCATCCCAGTAGCCGAAACCAGCTTGGCGAAGCAGGGTCACCCCAAAATTTAGTTTATTTTTATTTTTATTTTTTGTCGATCTCCAGGCGGTTTCTGCAGCAGTGTTCTCTCTGCTCTTCCCGTATCAGGACTTCGGACTCTCTCACGCAGTTGCAAGAGCGATTTGGTGGTCGTGTTTGTTTGCAATATTTTTGCACATAAATCTGAGAAATAACTGTAACGACGTTACTTTTTACAGTTACTTTCGAAAATTAGTAACCCTGTTACAGTTACAAGTTATTTTCATTAAGCAGTAACGGGTTGCAGTTACAAGTTATTTTCACTAAGCAGTAACGTTACAAGCTACTGCAGTTATACGTTATCGAAAAAAAGTAACTAGTTACCGGTAACGCGTTACCAGTAACTAGTTACTGACCACGACTGCGTAAAACCGTCTGGGTATATGATAGGGCGCCCACCTGAACATCACGCTGGCCAGGCTCGCCAACAACCAAATTTTGTTTCGAAAACCAGATACAGAAATACAGGCGAGAATGCCGCAATTCTTTGATGTCTCCGACGACCACCGTGATAGCGGCGCTTCAACACAGACCGCAGCGCGATCTCTCACTTGACAAACTGTGTCACCTGCTAAGGCCTCGTCTTGCCTTGGGATACTTTACTCCCTTAGCTTGCTACATCCGTAGGCAGTCCTTCGTTCAAGAATTCGGCTTTCGTCTCGCGCAGACCATCTCCCCGCCTCACGCGTCGGCTCTCCCACATAAAGAAATTACACTACCCTATAGTGACTGCTCAAATCGCCAAAACAACTGCAAAACAAAACAAAAAAAGCTGGAAGAAGTTTTTGAGCTTTTTGGGGAAACTTCACTATTCAAAATGTAAGCAAAACGAAGAAGCCGGCTGGCTGGGTGGACAAAAACAGTGCGCTGTGCGTTCCCCTGCATGGCAAGGCCAACCCGCGAGTGCAGTATGAGAGTTCCCCATGAAAACAACCAAGCAGGGGAAGAGAGAATATGTCCCTGACTGTGCTATGCGGGCCGTTTACTGACACTTTGCTTTACTTCGTTATTTCTTTCTGGAAATTCGTATGCGAAGGTTGTGCCACAATTTGGTGGCTTACCAGGCGTAACAAAAACAGAGCCATGTACCAACGGGAACACAGAGGGGGGGGGGGGGGGGGGGGGGGGGGAGGGGTGCAGGCATTGTTCAGCGAGCCAAACGCACGGGGGCTCAGCATATTGCCCAGCACCCCCTGAAAAATGTCAGCGAATGCTCAAGCCCCGCTGCCCTACCCCCCGGTTCCGGGGTCCTAGTCCATATACCGCCCTTCAAGTACCAGGCAAAAAAAACGTCACCACTGCAACCTCACATCAGGTGTCTAGAAAAGACGCTTTTATTCATTGGGCTACTAGATCAGCGGTCTCAAACACGCGGTCCGCTGGCCGCATAAGACCCGCGACTCGATAAGAAGCGGACCCCAGGCATCAAGCGGGTGCTTACTACCGTTCCCATATATCAAGTGCTATATGCTTCATAGGAATAATCGCTCAAAGGGATACTTCAACGAAATTTGAAATATTCCCCTCGTGTTCAAAAATAGGTTGAATATGATCCACAATATCCGTAAATGGCAATCGCACGTTTGTATTTTGAGCCTGGTGGCTGTATTTTTCGTTATAAACGGCCCACTCTGGCAAGCGCTCGGAGAAGGCCCAGCGGAGACCACGTGACATCCAACGCAATCGTGACGTAGGTCGTCTCAAGACGAGCAAAGCTACGGCGAGGCTGACGTCAAGAGGATGGCCTAGTACAAAAGCAGCCACCGAAGCGGCTGCTTTTGTACAAATTTTGAGTGACGGGTTAATCTTCTATAATCTTGTAGGGGGACAATAGTGACTTCTGTGACACACAAAAAGCATTCTCGGGAAGAGGGGAGTTTTTCCTGTCCTTCTTCTCTCGTCGTGGCCGGAGGCGAGACAACCTCCGTCACTAGCTGCCAAGGTTGCTGGACGGGCATTACAAGCGAGGCGTTAGCGACATCCACCAGGTGCTATTTGCGAATCGTTTAATTCGTTTAAAAATTCCTTTTCGTGACTTTTTTAACAGGATATTGGTATGTTCGATTTGATGGTGCTTTTTTGAACACATATAGACCAAAAAATGAGCGCCGAAATTTCGTTGTAGTATCCCTTTAAAGGGCAGCTCCGCTCGATTCCGAAGATATCAAGGTAATAAGTGACTTTGCATTAAAAAGCCATAGTAAAAGAGATTATGTCATTTGCTTGGCGAAAAGTGGGATGCATATTTTTAAATCTAATTTTAAGCACGAGCAGTAATCGAAACTGAAAATTCGGTTTCGATTTCTGCGCGCGCTCGCTCGGTCGCCGGCCGCAACCTCGGCAGTAGTCGAAACGTGGCCGTCCACGCCAGTACACCGAAGACGAGCTAAGGGCGAGGAAGAACGATCGACATTCATGCTTTCGCATTCACAACTAGTCAGTGCTTAGGTGTCCTCAAAATTTTGTCGATTAAGACGAAACAATACCCAGTTTAAAAGGAAAGGGTCCTTTTAAACTGGGTATTGTTTCGTCTTAATATTTGCTTCTCAGCTCTCTCTCGGAGCTCGCGCCGCGAGCTCGGCCGCTCGGCCGCTGTCCAGAGCGATGAGCGGGATTTAACGAAATTTTTGGCTGACTATCTACTCTATAGGATCTTGGAATAGACCACCAACGTGCGACAGAACCCGAGAGGAACGAGTAGATACCTGTTTTTCAGGTGTGCGGACTGCTTTTCGTGAGTAATCACCGTTTCCCGAAGCGAAGTGGGGCGGCCGCCCCCCTAGGCCTAACGCACCACCCAGAGCCAGCGTAGCGCCGGCCGCCGCCGACTCGACCAGATGGATTCCATTAACTTGGGTGGAAGGGACGTCCATCCCCGTTGGACCGGCGACATGAGGGTCGTCGAAGTTGACGGTGAGCCTATTTCGCCGGAGGACTTTCACGGCAGCAGCCGAGACTGGATAGACATCCATGTCAAGAAGCAGCAACGGGCGGACGTGCTAGGCCTAACCACCAGTTTCCCGCCAAAACGCACTTTTGGTAGAAAAACGGGGAACGGGGCTCGAGAACGTTCCAGAAGCAAGCGGCCGAGGGCGCCGAGGCTCCCGGAGGACGACATAAAGGTCGTTATCCGCCGGAGAGACGGCCTGGACACCTCGAGGCAGAATGAAGTCAAAATTCAACGGGGAATATTGATATCGGCGAAGATCTCCACCGAGGAGGCGAGCAGAGACGTCTTCCGCGTGAACAAGGACCAGAACATCATGCTGGTGAGCACACCTCGAAAACGCTCAGAGGTACAGGGGGATTATGGAAATCATGCTTGACGGCAAGAAGTTCGGGGTGGCAGCGCACGTGACGCCACCGGAAAACACCGCCAGGGGGGTCATCCACGGAATACCGGAGGAGGACACGGAAGAAGACATCAACTGCAACCTGATTGGAGCCAGGAATCCCTCGATCCTCCAGGCGCGGCGCATGGGACACTCCGGCTCCGTGGTCATCGTGTTCGAGGGGAAGAAGGTCCCGTACTTTATCCGGTATGGGGCCACCGAGAAGAAATGCTTCCTGCACAAAAAAAAAAAAAGATAGAGTGCTGCGGCCAGTGCGGTCGCGTCGGACACCGCACTGACGTATGTCCGAGGCCGGAGGAGAGAAGGTGCAAGGGCTGCTGGATGCTGAACCCACCGGCGGAACATGCGTGCACGCCGGCGTGCGGGGTATGCGGCAAGGCGCACCCCACGGGCGACCAAAAGTGCAAAAAGAAGTTCAAGACGCCGTACATCGTACTGCAGAGAAGCTGGGAAAAGAAACGGAACAAGCAGGGCCTCCTGAAGCAGGGAGAGGAGAACTTTCCCAAGTTGCTAGGGGACGCCTCCCGCTCGCGATCGAGGAGCCGTGCCGAGGGACGGAGATCCAGGTCGACATCAAGGGCGGACGGACGACGGCAGTCGGGATCCAGAAGCGGCAGAGGACGCCACGTGAGCTGGGCGGAGATGGTCTCCCTTAAGGCTCCACAGAACAAGGGGGGTAACGCTTTCGCAGAAACGAGCCAGGCGAACGAGCTGGCAGAGATTAAGGCTTTGCTGAAGCGGGCCTTAGAAGAGAACAAGGCGCTCCGCGAGGAGCTAAACAGGCTTAAGGAGGGGACGCGTGAAAGAGCAGAGGTTGTGCATGCACCGCAGGAGACGATCTCCGCGGAGTCTGACGGTGGTGAGTCGTCGACACCGCCACTGAAGCGGAGGGCGCGGGTCACGGCGCGACCGAGAAGAGAGGCTCGCGAGGCAAAACCCGTTAGCGGGGACCGAGAGACCTTCGTGACGAAAAACATGTTGGAGAGCGCGATCACAGGATGCATGGAGAGGATGCTGACCGAGTTGCAGAACCGCGCCTCGAGACTGGCACAAGGCACGCCGAACCCGTTCGACGCCTGGGCGCACTACACCAGAGTCACGGGGAACATCACACGACCAGAAACTGAGGCTATGATCAACGAAGATGGATCGGAGCCGTAGGAAGTATATCATCTGGCAGTGGAACTGCCGCGGGTATGGAAAAAAGAGGAGTAATCTGCAGCAGTACATCAATCATAAGGAAGAGGGGGATCGCCCGGACGTAGTGGCCCTACAAGAACCAAAAAGACTAGCAAAATTATTTGGCTACAAGTCATACGGGAAGGACGCGCAGGACAAGACACTGGTAACGACGATGGTGAAGAGGAACATCCCGGTCATAGAGCATGAAACAGGGGTATCCACGGTTGATCACGTCCTGATTGAAATCATATCGCACGAGAAGAAAGACAGGCGCAGCATCTTCGTCTTGAACGTTTAGAGCAGCCCCTCGAAGAGGCACAGATTCGCTTCCCTTTTCAAGGCAACCACGAACATCGCCAAAGGGCAGACACTTCTTGTCGCGGGGGTCTTCAACGCCCCACACCTAGATTGGGGGTATCAAGTGGAAAGAATCAAAGGGAGGAACCTGTGGAACGACTCGCACGAGTACGGCCTCTCTCTCATCACCGATCCAGACCAACCGACGCGGCGGGGTAACCACAGAAATCAAGACACGACCCCATATCTCACTTTCGTAAAAGGCACCGAAGACTCTGTGTGGTACAACACGTGGGAAGATCTCGGGAGCGACCATTTCGTCCTCTGCATCACGACTGCAGCAGGACCGGCAAAGCCGAAAGGTAAGCGGTGCAAGATCACGGAATGGGACGCGTTCAGGGAAATACTCGAGGAATACGGAACCGAAGACATCGTAAATATCGAAGAGTGGTCGGAAAGCCTTAGAGCGGCAGCCGAGCGGGCGACCAAAGTCGTTCCCGAAGAGGCGAACGTGACAGTGGCGGACAGCCGACTGCTACACCTCTGGGAGGCAAAGGCAAAGCTGGAGCAAAGACTGCGAACCCAGAAGGGAAACAGGAGCTTGCGCAGAAGAATAGCTGAACTCAGCAGGACTCAGGCTAACCAAGTCACGTCGCAGCAGTGGCATGACACGTGCGACGGCTTCGACGGGCAGCCGAACGTGCCTAGGACGTGGAACATCTTGCGCCATCTGCTCGACCCGGAAGGTAACAAGACCGCGCAGAGAAACAAGTTGTGCTAAATCATCAGGAGACACGAAGGGGGAGAGGCGGATTTGGTAGAAGACGTCCGTAAGCGATACATCGGCAACTACCCGAGAAGACAGCTAACAACCTATCGTGGAGAGGCGAACGCCCTCCTCGACGAAGACATCGCAGAGTACGAAGTCGCGGACGTCATACGCGGCCTCAAGACCAAGTCGGCCCCCGGTCCCGATGGCGTCACGAACAAGATGCTTCGAAACCTGGACACGGAGGCGGTCGCAGCAATAACGCGATTTCTGAACAAGTGCTGGCAGAAAGGGAAAATACCCAGGCAGTGGAAAGCGGCGAAAGTGGTCATGATTCCTGTAATGACTTGAGCCGAACACATCGCGGTCTTGGTTACGACTGGTAGGTTTTACTTTGCTGATCCGGTAACAAACAGATAACAAGGTTGACAACCAAAACACAAAGTCCGCTAAACATAGCTAAAACAGTGAAACTTGTCACTACATTACATCCCTCCCCTCTTAGTAAGGTGCACAGTCTCGTTAGTTAATACACATAAGGTCCCAATCTGGAGACTGGTCGACGCAGTCTTGATGATCTTCGAGGGGGAGGACTTGTCTGGTCATGGACCTCTGCATTTAGTGAAGGCACTTGTTCCATTGGCTCTTGACGACAGGTGATGGGTGGCAGTTGAACAGCCTTGTCCCGGCTCGTTGGGTTGATGCTCACGTCCAGCCAAGCCTTGCGCAGCTGGTCACGGTGGCGTCGATGAGTCTCGCCGTTCTCCTGCTGCACTTTGTACGAGACTGGGCCCATTATGGCAACCACCTTTGCTGCTTTCCATCGCGGGCCAGGGATGAAACTTCTCATGTAGACCGCATCTCCTATTTGGAACTTCTTCACCTTTAGGTCTGGTCTCTCCGGTTCTCTAATCCGATCCGGATGAAGCCTGTCCAGGGGCGAACGCAACTTCCGTCCCATCATGATCTCAGCTGGTGTCTTGCCGGTCACTGAGTGGGGGGTGGTGTGCTGTTTGAACAGAAATCGCAAGATTCTGCACTGGGTATCTCCCTCCGCTGCTTCTTGAGTGTCGCCTTCACCTCCCTCACCATCCGCTCTGCCCTGCCATTGCTTGCAGGGTGGTATGGAGCTGTGTGCACAAAGCGGACAGCATTGAGCTTGAGGAAGTCTTGCATCTCTCGGCTGGTGAATGCAGTTCCATTATCGGACACAATGACGTCCGGCAACCCATGTGTTGCAAAACACTTGCGCAGGCTCCTGATTACGGCAGTAGAGGTCATCGATGGCAAGATATCTACTTCCACCCAGTTCGAATAAGCATCGACGATCACCAAGAAGACCTCGCCCTTAACTGGACCTGCGAAGTCGACGTGCAACCTGCTCCAGGGCTGCTCTGGTTTAATCCAGAAGTGTACTGGTGCCTTGGGGTCGCTCTGACGGTTGGCTTGGCACTTGTCGCAGTAGCGCACAAACTCCTCTATCTCTTCATCGAGTTTCGGCCACCAGATTAGGCTACGAGCCATTGCCTTCATCGCCGTCATTCCAGGATGATTTGCGTGCAAGAGCTGTAGGACTTGGCTCCTTGCCGCCTTGGGGATCACGACACGGTTACCCCATAACAAACAGTCTCGATGCACTGACAATTCTGTTTGCCTCACTTCGAATGGTGCGAAGTCTCCACCAGAACTGTCATCGGGCCATCCGCTGAGCACCCACTGCTTCACCCTTGAGAGCACGGTGTCCTTTCCAGTCAAGCCCGCAATGTCAGTAGCCAGAAGTGGAGGGTACTGGATGGCTTCAAGCAACAGGATGTCACCGGGTGGTGCTGGTTCGTCAACATCTCCAGGCAGTGGCAGCCGGCTTAGACCATCCGCGTTAGAGTTGTCTTGACCCTTCCGGTACTTGATCTGGTAATTGTACGCACTCAACAGGAGTGTCCACCGTAGCATTCGAGGTGACAGGACCTCAGGCATGCGCTTGTCTGTGCCAAACAATCCCAGTAGCGGCTTATGATCTGTTATGATCGTAAAACTTCTTCCTGCCAGATACTGGTGAAAGTGTCTAACCCCGTAGACAACGGCAAGACCTTCTCGGTCGATTTGTGCATAATTCCGCTCGCTCTTGCCAAGAGTACGTGAGGCATATGCGATAGGAAGCTCATTCCCGTCGTTGTCTTGGTGTGCCAACACTGCTCCAACCCCCACTGGTGAGGCGTCACAGCATAGCACCAGAGGACGACTGGTGTCGTACTTCACCAGAAGTGACTCGGAAGTCAGCAGTTTCTTGAGGCTTTCAAAAGCGTTCTGGTGTTCCCTTGTCCAGGTCCACTTACGCCCGTCGTCTAGCAGGCGATGCAAAATCTCTGCAACCTCTGCCTTCCCTTCCAGGAATCGACTGTAGAAGTTCACCATGCCCAAGAAGGCTTGTAGTTCTTTTTTGTTAGTTGGAGCTGGAGCGCTGTGGATTGCTGCAACATTGCTGGCACTTGGGTGAATCCCCGAAGCATCGATCTTGTGTCCAAGGTACTCTATGCTTATCTTGCCAAACTGGCACTTGTCCTTGTTGACCCTCAGTCTGGCGTCTTGTAACCGTCGCAACACAGCCTCCACACGCTCGTTGTGCTCTTGTTTTGTTTTTCCCGAGATGATGATATCATCCAGGTACGCCACAACACCAGGGATTCCAGAGATCAGACTGTCGACGACACGCTGAAACAGTCCCGGCGCTGCCGAAACACCGAAAGGCAGTCGTCGGACTCTGTAAAGTCCTTTCAAGGTGTTGATTGTGAGGAGCTCTGCAGACTCATCGTCCAGCGTCAGCTGCTGGTAGGCCTGCGTGAGGTCGAGTTTTGTGAAGATGCAGCTGGTGCCTATTGCTGCAAACACTTCAGTGGTGGTCGGTAGAGGGTAAACATTGCTTTTCACTGCCTTGTTCACCGTACTTCGATAATCCCCACACAGTACGTCTCAGGGACCCGTCTTTTTTTCTT